TCATTTCAGAAACGGAAGTAGCTTAATGTCTCGCCTCATATATTACAGAATGGAATGTTTCTTTTAACATAAAGGCCAAATTGTAACGCTTATATTTATTTTCAACAGCGCTGCATGTTGCAAAAGTGTTCATCTTTTTCTGCGTATGTGCGGATGAGATGTATTGACCTATCTGAGATATGACCCGGACATGTATTAACTTTTGAAATTTACAAAGGGTAATAACTCTTAATCTATGAAAAAAGAGTTATGATTCTCGTGTAAAACACTTCACATATATGTAATTAATCTACCTACAAAGTTTCAAATTGATATCTATTATACTTTTTGATATAGCCCGGACAAGAATTTTGTATAAAATTTACAAAGGGCAATAACTCATAAACTATGAAAGGAAGAGTTATGGTTCTTTTGCACTGCACTTTTTCATGTGATATAGCTTCCTATCAAGTTTCAAGTGAATACCTCTTATAGAAGAGTTGTGGAGCGGACACAAACGTGTGACGGACAGACAAATGGACGGTCAGACAAACGGACAACGAGGTTGAACCCTGTACTTATTCGGACTCATTCAAGGGAAAACATACATGTAGCATCATATTGTTGTTTTGGCATCAAATGACTGCACATTAGAATAAAAAAAATACACAGCAAAGACTGAAATAATAATACAATCAGAATCAACCCACACATAAATTCTGTTAAATTGTACTCATAACTAATACACATGATAAATGTCCCAACTCATTCTAGTATAGGGAAACTTCACACCATTACCATTTCGGTACATAAAATAAGAGGTGAAGTACATACATGTTCTAGTAATAGGAAGTAACATTATAAATTCTTGTTATATGAATACCCAAAATTTTAAACAAATATATTTTCGTCTAACAAAATGTCTTGAAAGAAAGGACTATGAAAGCGTTCATTTCCTTACATATTTATTTAATATGACACTAAACTATTTAACATGTAAATAAATAAAAAAGAAAACTAGATATGAAGGGACCTTAATAGGGCAGTGCAATTGATTTTTCTGAAGAAAAAAAATAAAGCAAACTTTTGAAATAATTTCTTTTGTATTATTGAACAGAATTAAAACAAGAGCTGGTCGTATTACAGTCAAAGCTCGTGTATTCAAAGTTGTCATTATATTAGAGATTTTGACAGAGATACAATCAAAATTTACAATATCAGTATAAAAAAGTTTAAATATTAGAAAAGAAGGTAAAAATGATCCACAACTTTAATGACCATCATTTTATTTAAGTCCTGGCATAAGATTCCAGCAAGTCACATCACATTTCTTTACAGTAACAGACTATTTTTTGGATCGGTGGCATATACTGGACATAATTTATTAGCATCGACGTAATCGATCTACTGATTCTAAATTATCACCTCTACTTTTCAAGTCCTTGAATTCTCTTGACACACTTTTCTCCGTTTGCGCATTTGCTGAGCCACTTTGCTCCGATGACGCATTAGCTCAACCTACATTTCCCGGTTTGCTTCGTTTTGCTGACATTTCAGCTGGACACACTTTTTCCTCAGAGTCACTGAAGTACATTAGTGGTTTGTTTTGCATACCCATGTATAATTTTGTGGCTCCAACATACTTCTTATTGTGTTAAATGTAGTTAAAAACAGAAAAATTATCTTCATCAAACATCTCGTCCACCATAATTAAAAGGATAATATAACCCTCATTTTAACATTCATCATGAAATTAAAGATCTACTAGCAGTCTGTTTCTCACAGTTTCATAGTCATCATTACAACCTAAGTGCAGTTCCAATACTTTGTGTTTTATAGAGCGCATCAACTTAAGCTCCAGCTTTGTTCTCCTTCACCCCACAGCGTATTATTAGTACTCCTCAGCCTGCAATACGAAACAATAACAGTAAGTATTTATAGTTACTTGCTACAGGGCATTGGCAGTGTTCATTACCATTAATGTCAATGAATAGTCTAAATCAAACCCAGTCTTCTATCTTCAGTTTTTGTATGTATTTTTTGGTTCGGGTAGATCATTTATCAAGAACTTATTGCTAAGTTTTTACTATCAACAATAGGAACTGTCAGATTACTATGGATGGCTTTTCAGTAAGGCTTTGGTCAAAGTTTTAAACCTTTATCTACAATAACAGCTGCCTGCTGTCATAATGAGTATTTTTTTTAAAAATTGATATCTTTGTGACAATGGCTACTGTACTTGCCCGCAAAAATTAACCAAGCTGTGAAGCGGACGCGATTGCCGACACCAGGGTTAGTACAATATCTTGAAATATTCTTGGAGCTAAAAATCATACCTTTATTTTCTGTTTTGTTGCAACAACTAGAGAACTTGTTGGCATCTTTCTTGATGCTTTTAAGGACAGGAGTTTCCATAAATTCTTCTAAAGTAGGAGCACTACCTATAAAATGTTTTGAAAGAGTATTATTATTTATATTAGCAAGCAAGCAAATAGAAAGCAAATGTTTCCTTAAAATAGAGCGTCTCATGGAATTTCCAACAATATGTGACATTTTGGTCAATTTGAGATGATTAAATATTCACAAAGCACAATCTATTACAGACCTTTTCATATCAAAAGTATTTGAAACTGTAGCTTGGATATTTATTAATCTTAATAACTATTTACACTATATACAAGCGAAATACCGGAAATGACTTTTAAACAATTGATGAAAAAGTTAAAAACATATATAAATGGTCAATTACTGCTAATGATACTAAAGTTCTATTCAATATTTATCACACAGTAAAAGGATAAACATTTGATAAGCATTGGCACACACATTTAAAATGTCATGTTGGGTCCAAATCGTTAACAAAACCACTGGTTACATTTCTGTGAATATGATAAATAAAACTTTAATTTTCCTCAAAATATGCCATATTTTGTATAAAATTAATAGGAAAAACACTGCATACAAAAGAAATTGCTTATGTAAATATTATTATGTTAATATTATTTGTAATATCTGGTCATTCTTGGTACAAAGTACCTCCTGCATTAAGTACTTTGAGGATACTGACTCGTAGATCATATCCTTCAACACGCCTTAATTGAAGCTTTAAAAACCCAAACATGTGAAAAATATTCTTTATTACTGTTTATCTTATTTTTACTTCGCAAATATCTGTTTACTACGTATACCTACCTTCCTGAAAGACAGCGGTCTGAATTAATGGTGGAAATTGATCGGAAATAACAATGTGCCAATAAGCATTTTGCATTTACCATAAGCAAATATCATTTCGCATTTGTCATTTCGCAAATAGCAATTCGCAAATAGCAATTCGCATGGCAGAATGGCTTTCCATACAAATTAGCAATTCAGCAATTGGCAAATAAGCAAATTTGTCGTTAAGACTATCAGCCATTGGCAAATAAGCAAATCGGCAATTAGCAAATAAGCAATTCAGCAATTGGCAAATAAGCAAATTGGCATGTCCCTACCGGCATTCCATAACCGGCATTCCATATTATATAATGATGTTCTTTATAATCCTAATAGGAAAAATTGGTGTTCGTTAGTTAAAAACTTACTTTGTGAATTGGGTTTCATAGACGCATGGAGATTTCAAACAGTTGGTGATGTTGATCTGTTTTTGTTAAATGTCAAACAAAGAATAAAAGACCAGTTTGTTCAAAAATGGAATGATAGACTAAACAGCTCCACTAGAGCAATCTTTTTTAGAAACATAAGCAATTTTTGCTTTCAACCGTACTTAAATATTTTAAATTTTAAAAAGTTTCGTATATCTTTGTCACGATTACGTATGTCATCACACAGATTATATGTTGAAACAGGTAGATGGCACCAGCCAAGGGCTATTCCTTATGATGGTCGCAAATGTTCTGAATGTATTGTTTTAGAGGACGAGTTTCACTTTGTTTTACAATGTAATAGATATATTAACCTAAGAAAGCAGTTTATATCGCCATATTATTGGAGATACCAAAATATGATAAAATTCATTGCTCTTATGAACTCTGATAATGATACTATTATAAAACGTCTTGCATGTTATATTGAAAAAGCTTTTAATGTTAGGAACAACACTATTTTCATTCAACGTTATTAAGGTAATTAAGTAAACTTTGTCAACTGTACGACTTAAGCAATTGTAAAATGAAATTAGTAAATATATTTTTTTATTTTAATGTATACACGATATTGTTAAGCAACTATTTGTTTTACCATATGTCAATCTTGTCGCTTTCGTTTTTCGGACAAGGCTGACAAATATGGTCTTCTCAGATGTTATATTATCTTACTCATTCGGCGAATCATTGTTACCAGTAATACTAAAATCGTACATGTAATATGCTATATTTTCGGTAAACTGCTTCAATCACTTAGTTATCTATGTATTTTGGACAGTTTATATTCATATCTGTCACCAGTTTCATTGCTATATGTTTGTAATTATGTAAACTATTATATATGCAAAACTCAACACCTTTTGCTAAATAAGTTTTGTTTACTGTTACGTACACTGAAACGAAAATAATATGGCCTCTAAAAATGGAGTTTTCGGCCACGAAATGGAGTTTCGCTCACCGAATGGACATTTGCTTTACAAATTATGGTGTAACTGACATGTCACAAAGGGTATCTTTTCTATTAACTTTAATTTAATCTGGAACGACAAAAATATTTTTGTCCTAGGTTAAATATCCTATAAAACAGAATCTTTCTTTTTGAAAGACTATGTATAAAACACTGAACTATGTGGCATTATAATACGATTATTTTCAATTCTAACACTCACGTGATTTTGTCACTATATATAGACAAAGAAGAAAAAAACTGGTGTTAAACTGCCAATAAATGAAAAATAACATAAGTGATTTTCCTTATTTCATCGTGTTAGAATCGAAATAACATCGGTCTGAGAGGTGTATATATCCGTGCAAAAAGTTATAGACGAAAACGACATGATATCATTCGTAAATACATTAAATAATGATAACACGGAAGTGATTGTTTGAGGTCATCATTGTTGCTGTGGTAAAAAGCTTAAATTTCACTATTTGTTGTGAAATTTGAAAAATAAGGTCTAAAAATAAACAAAAATTCGTAAAACATGGGCAAACCAAAAAACAAAGCAAAGGATAAGGACGTGTAAGTATCGGGGTATTACTTTCGTTAAAAAAAATGAACACTGTTGAAAGAGTGAAAATATGTTTTGTCAGAAAATTATGAAGAAAGAATAGAAAAAAAGGAAGACGTAGAACTATTTGAATATTAATTTTTATTTGGCAGTAGCTACTACATGCTACATCACAGTGACCTTGTAAAATTTCTCATGCATATATTGGCGCATAATAGTTGGCACTGCCTTTGATTTTCTTTGACTAGTGACGCATTTTTAGACTGAATCATTTAAAAGGAAGTGGCTAGCCGTACGGGCCCGTACGGCTAGCTAGCCAAAAGTTCTAGCCGAACGTGAGTCAAGTACGACTAGCAAGGACACGCTGTATTGGCTAGCCGTACGGCATTTTCAAAATTATATGGAAGTCGAAAATGCATATGTTATTTTACGACTTTAAACGAGGATTTTAAGCAAGAAACAGCAATTGTCTTCGTACATGTATGTTTACTTTTTAGAGATTAATCGCCTTGTTGGCTATGTACAGTAAAAAAAGTACGAATATATGTTTCCTTGTAATCTCAACACGTTGAGAAAAAAATAGCGTTTGCTCGCAGTTAAATAACATCAATTGAAATAGTTTACAAAATTTTGATGATAATCCTTTTTTGTTTCATTAAGTTCAATTTTCGACACCTTTAAAATAAAACAAAAAAACCAACACGAAAATTATTGTTGTTGGGCTCTGATAATTGCGTCAATTACCGACGGTAAAGAAGTTTGTGCATCACTAAATCTTTTTATTTATTCCACTCCGACACGGATTTATATTACAATAAAATATAAATCCGTGACTCCGATCATTATTTATTCGATTCACAAAAATTCGACTTTCTGTTTCATACAAATAAAACAACAAATCATAATCATGAGGCACAAAATAACATATGCATGTTTGACTTCCATATAGGTAATTTTGAAAAGTGCCGTACGGCTAGACAATACAGTGAGTCCTGGCTAGTCGTACGTGACTCACGTACGGCTAGAACCTTTGGCTAGCCGTACGGGCCCGTACGGCTAGCCACTTCCCATTTAAAAACCTGATTGGGAGAAATATGTACAATTAAACTGTTTTATCTACCAGTAGTCTGTTAATTTTCTGTTTTGTTTAAGAATTACACAATTGTTTAGGCCAAGTGTGGTTTTAATTAACGGAAAAAAAATTCCGTTTGTTTTTAAAAAATGATTTTATTTTTATTTTTGTGTTAGCCTATTTGACTGTTGAATCAAAGTTAATATATAGTATTCTAGCATGTTTTCAATAGCTTTACTTTTGATATAAGGAGAAATGACTTGTCAAGCCAGGTTTTTTTTCCAGGATTTTGGGAAGATGGTCCATACCTATGGAATTGGGAATTTCAGCGATATTTTGTTAAAAATTGGGAAAAAATGTATGAATCACTCTCTAGGATGGCATCTTCAAACAATTAAGCACCATAATAGTGAAGAAGCCCTTATTTTCTAAGATTTTAGAATCTGTAATTCAATATTTTTATTTTGCAACTTTTTTATTGGGAATTTTGTCTGTGGATTGGGAAAATAATATAGTATAATATTTCAATTGGGAATATGACCAAATATCGGCTATAAGATAAGCCCAAAAAATCCCTGCAAGCACTTTATAGCATGATATATTCAGGCCTTAACAAATCCACTTGCCCGCTTGCATTTGTGAGTGAAAGTTTGAGTTAGGCAAGTAAAAATTTGATCAAACTCGCCCTCTCCAGATTCAAATGATGTTTCTCCTAATATTTATAATTTATAACTGTAGAAGCCTTTTAAAACGTAATACATGTCAAAGAAAACCGGAAATGGACCTCATGGCTAAGTATAAAACTTTACCGAATGATGAATTGATTAACGCCTCCCCTTATCATAACAACAGTAGCATACAACAATGTTTTATACATACGCATTCGGTAATATTTTACACTTTGCCATCAGGCCGATTAAGTAGCTGATTGCATTAAAACTTGAATAAAATAAGTATACAGACTATGTCGAAGATTATACATTAAAAGTATGAAAAGTATTACAAATGTATAAACAAAATGTAATTAAAAAAAGCCAAATTTACCGATATAGACCTGTAAATATTAAATTTGAGTCATGTGTTTACAGGAATTCTTTTACCAAATTCGCCAAACGCGCTTTGAAATTTGAGTTGATAAAAATTCCAGTTTTGAGCCCCTAATTCCAGCTGAAAACCCAATTTTGGCCATGTAATTAATATCACTTTGGCCATGTAGTCAATATGACAAATATCTGCGATACTGTGCCGATACACTGATATATCTATAATTACTCAGTACTCATAATTACTTGCCTATTATTCAGTTTCATTCCCATTTAAATTATTTCAGTAAAATATATTTTCTGTTCATAATATTATGAATTTTTGAGAAATAAAAATGATAGCATTTCATTTTATGAGGGATGATCCAAAAATAAAGTAGACTTAGAACTGCTGTTGCTGAAACATGTGGTTTAAATTTAGTAAACTATTATATAAAAGTAAATTGTAACATGGAAGATAAAAAGTTATATATTTATTTAAAAATGCAGGCAGGTCATGTGATTCCATAACTAAAGTAACACAAAGTCAGGGCACACAGATTTTACGCCACAAGTTGCATATGTTTCAGTTCAAGCAAAATACTCATTAGAAAAGTGCAAAATGAAGCCACATAATAGTTTGATATGCTGATCCTATAATGTCAAAGTTTGACATAATAATTTAAAACAACAAACAACATTCAAAAGCTTAAAAATGTCAGACTGGCAGGAAGTTCGTGAAATTATTTTCTTCTGCCATTATCTTGTAAAAATTCAAAATAAATGCTAAAGATTGATTCCACCAAAAGTGAATACTAGTATCCACTGACTGAACAGGAATCTTTCTATGAAATAGAAATATCAGTTTTCTGACGGCCAGCCTCAGGTCAGCCTTTAAAGGCATGTGGATTGTTTTAAAAAGCATACATGTGAACTCTCCCACTTTAAGCGGGAGATTCCCACTTTCTGCAGCCATATTTTCAAAGATTTCTCCTAAAATAAGGGGTATTTTCACAAATTAAAGAAATCTCCCTATTTTGATGTCAGAACTTTGTTCTTTATTTATTGCAAATTCTAAAATCCTCCTCTTTTTGAAGAAAAATCTCCCACTTGATCATTGAAAAAAAGTTCACGTGTATGAAAAAGACAAATTATGATGTGACAAAAGTGATCTCGTAATAACTAGTGAGAGTGTGAAAGAAATAACTGACAAAGTATGTTCTACTTTTAGAGATTCTGACGTAGATATTGCAGAATCTGAAGCCACTGAAGCTAAACCTGTGGGCAAGCAGTCAAAGAAAGACAAGAAGAAGAAGAAAAAGGATGATGATTGGTAAAATATTTGTAATGTGTTCAATAAATGAAATTACTATATACAAAGATGTTCATTTGAGTAAATCTTTATTGAGTGTGCAGGATATTAATATTACGTAGAACTAATCATATGTTTATACTGTTTAACATTAGACTTTAGGTGAATACCTCTATATTTAGATAAAGTTTCAGTGACTGCAAAGTATAATTAAGGCATGATTGTGTCATAGTATACAATTTAGAACTGATCAATGTCGGAGGACTAGCAGTCAGGTACATGTTCTGTTGATTAGGCAGTTGAGCTTTAGATGGAACCCATGATGACTAGAGGTGACAGGGAGACACCTTAAACCAGTCACTGATCATACATAAATACGAAGGGAGAGGTGGCCTAGTGGACCACTAGGCCACCTCTCCCTTCGTATTTATGTATGATCAGTGAAAACTGTTTATGATTATTGCAAATAGGTAAAGTGTGTGACAGCCAATATAGTTTACAGTTTATTCATGTTTTAAAAAAAAAATTTTTGCAATTTGAAAATTTTTCACATTATAGGGAAGACGACGTTGCAAACGAACTGCAGTCCTTATCACTGGAAGCCAATAAAGGAAGAAAGGAAGAAAATAGTGTCGAGGAAGAAAGAGCACCTGTGAAGAAAAAAGAAAAGGTATCTGAAAATTGACCAATAATTCAATGTCATTACATCTGTGTGCAGTTTGTAGTTTTCTATTAACAAAAAAAGTAGTATGTTAACACATATTGATATTACAAGCTGTTCATTAAATACATGTTTGATTAATAGTGTTAGAATCTTTGGAAAGGTATTTTATATCTGCTGATATTTTTTTTTGAAGCAACGCAACATTTGAAGGAATGGCTCCTAAAGTCTTGAAATTTATGTGGTAAGGGTAAAGGGCTGAAGGTTTTCACTAAGAATTTGACAGTTCAAAGAATGGCTGTTCTACTCATTTTGGGGGTCTACATTTGCATTACATTTCAAAAAGTTTTACTTGCAACTGCTTAACATCATGGTTAACATGGTTAACTAAGAATGCTTGAGATAAGGTCTTTAGTTTGTGACTCCTTTTATAATCTCGAATAAGTGTGTAAATTTAAAAGCAAATGAGCCGCCTCATGACAAAACCAACATAGTGCGTTTGCGACGAGCATGGATCCAGACCAGCCTTCGCATCCACGCAGTCTGATCAAAATCCATGCTGTTCGCCATCAGTTTCTCTACTTGTGATAGAATTGGTAGGTGAACAGCATGGATCCTGATCAGACTGCGCGGATGCTCAGACTGGTCTGTATTGTCAAACTATTGTACAATATACAATATGGTGTCAACACCATGTCTACGATAATCTCAACGCATGTATTTATCACATTTTCTCAATATTCTAAAACATCCGGATCAGAAAATTGGCTCCGGACACCGAATCGTGATCCGAACGTTCAGATATCTGGACTCCGAATGACACTCCTACTAGTCTAAATGCTACTGCTTCAATACATATGAGTTATTCTTGTCTGTATTAATATTTTGAATAATATTTTTATAAGCTGTTATAATGGTTGTTTCTTGTTGTGACAAAAAACAACTTTTTTTGTTTTTTTTTCAAAAAGGAGTAAAGGCTTTCTCATGCATGTCTCAGAGAAACAGTTCTATAATTATAATAGTATTTAGTTGAACTACAATTATATGTAGTTGAACTACAATTGAATGATTCAGAAAATATAGAACAGGTAGGAGTTGGTCTCAGATGAATGGTTTTGAAAGTTTGATGTTACTGTTTTAGGAACAGCAGAAGAAACAAGCATTAAAGAAAGATGGAAAGGTTGATGAACCGAAATCAGAGGAAAAAACAGAAGATCAAGCTGCAGCCGAAGGTATTGTCTTGCAAATTTTATGACATATTGCAGTATTTATGAAATTTCAAGTTTTAAAAAGAACATGTTAAAATGTCACTAGTGATAAAAAAAATTTGTAACTCTTGTCAGATCTGTTTCTCATTGGTTTCTATAGCTGCCTGCCAGGAGGCTTAGGATTTATATTCTTACACTAAGAAGATGTGATGTGGAAAATATTCCGATGGTAAAACTAAATAATAAAGATCTGTCTGATTTTGATGGTGTGTAATCAGTTTTACCAATAGCATATGTTTGAAAATGATTTATAGTTTAATCCCATTTTGAAACTTAAAGAGGTGTCTGTGGATGAGTGGTTTAGGTCGTTGACTTCTAATTACTTGCTCTTCACTGGAGGTTTGAATCCCAACAGGGACTTTGGATTCTTTAATGTGAGAAAGCAATCCAGTTAGCTTACGGAAGTAGGTGGTTCTTCTCAGGGGTCTGTTAGTGCCTGAAAAAATGCACAGTAGGGTACCTGAGGTCTTCCTTCACCAGTTAAGCTAGAAAGTCGCCATGACCAATACTGTATTGGTGTGATGTTAAACCTAATCAAAAGAGAAAAATCTTTTACATACATTGTATAGCAATGTGGAATGAGCAATTTTATACTGATTTTAACATTATTGCAATGAAGAATCATGGTCACTTACTGAGTTAAAAGAAAATAGAGTGTATATCTGTCCTATATAATTACATGTATATACTTTGTTTGTGTAGAGAAAGTAGCATCAGGAGATGAAGGAAAGGAAGAAGAAGATGATGGTAAGAAAAAGAAGAAAAAGAAAAAGGGAGAGAAAGAAGAAAAACCTAAAAAGTCTAAAGCTCCTGTAAGTCTCAAGTTTTTCTTGTTTTTGACTGTTTTTTGTATGTTTGATTTTCATTGAATATGATTTTCATTAAATTATGTTTAATATATTCGAGTGAGTTAAAGACACTCATTATTAAGTATTAAGAAAAGAGAAAGAATACAAATAAGTACTTATGATTGACAATTTCCATACTAATTTTATTTTATTGAAAAGCATTTTATCAACACTTTTAAGAAAGAAGACTAAGTAACAACAAAATATTATTAAAACTAAGTGTAAATTTAAACAGCTTAACTGTAAAGAATTATTTAATTGCAGGTGGCAGCTATTAAAGAATTATTAAAGAGACAAAAAGAGGAAGAAGAGAGATTAAGACAAGAGGAGGAAGAAAGAATAAGGAAGGAGGAAGAGGCAATAGCTGCTGCTATAGAAAAGGTAAATACTTTACCTCATTTTTATGCCCCCACAAAGTGGGGATCATATAGCGTTGCACTTGTCCATACATACGTCTGTCCATACGTCCCAAAATCTTGTGAACGCAACTCCTCTTAAACAGGATGGCAGATTTTACTTAAACTTCCAGGGATGAACAACCTTAATGTGTGGAAGAAATTTTGCTGCGACCAAATTATCAGAATTATGGCCCTTTGTTGATTTTTTTCTCTATATACCATATAGAAATTTATGAAACGCAACTCCTCTTAAACCGGATGGCAGATTTTGCTTAAACTTTCAGGGATGAACAATTTTAATGTGTAGATCGAAGTAAAGGAAGGAATTTTTGCTGCGCCCAAATTTAACAGAATTATGGCCATTTGTTGATTTTTTCACTATATACCATATAGAAATTTTGTGAATGCAACTCCTCTTAAACCGGATGGCAGATTGTAATAAAATGTTCCACATAAAAATCTTACATACAGACATGCAGACGAGCACATCTGCACAGTGGGGGCATCCGTGTCCTTTGGACACAGTTCTAGTTAAATTGTCAGTTTCAAAAAAGAGAAAGTTGAGCTATTATGATTGCTGTATCATTGTAGTCTTTGTTGTTTTTGTGGTCTTGAAAAAACTTTAATGAAGCCCATCATACAAACATTTTGGAAAGGTATCAACATGAAACTTTGAATAGTTGTTTATCATGACAAGGTGCATTTGTAAGACAAGGGGCATAATTCTGAAAGGTATATGTTCGGATTTTGCCCCTTTCTTATTTAAAGATTTTAAAGGTCTAAAACTAAGTAACAAATTAACATGAAACTTGGAATATTTTATTATCTTGACAATGCTCAGCCATAAGACAAAGGGCATTATCCTTAGCTATATTTTTAGGAGTTTCAATAAAGTTCTTACTTGGTTTGTTTTTGACAGAAAAGACTGGAAGAGGAGAAAAAGAAATTGAAGAAGCAGAAAGAGAAGGAGAGGAAAGAAAGGTTGAAAGCCGAGGGTAAATTACTGACTGCACAACAGAAACAGGAGAAACTTCGACAACAACAGATGTTAGAGAGTATGAAAGCTCAAGGTTTGTTATTGATGCTGTTCTTAGACAACATTTTGATAAATACAGTATATCATTCATTGCTTAGTACTTGTTGGTTCCATGAACGGATTCGAGAGTGTTTCAATAAGCTTACAGCTTCCAACATAATCAAACTAAAAAAATTGTATAAACTGAATACAGTATTGAAGTACATATATTTCCATATATATGACACCAGCTAGTCACAGTTGTTACTGATTGTTAAGCAGTTTGTTTGTCCTCTACTGCTGATTTATTATACGCTCAAAAGAAAAGAATTTCAAACATATAATGTTATTGCTCCGGTTATCAATTTGTTTGTACAAGCAAACATACAGTGGAGCTATGGTAAGTCAAGGTTGAAGGGACTTGTGTAAAATCCTCGAGACATTAGGTTTTCGACTTGTATTGGTCAATAGATTTAATGACAACATTTTCAGCCATCACTGTTGACTTATTTGTGGCAAATAAGATCTCGCTGCACCAGTACAGCAAGAAAGTTGTCAAAAGATCTTTTATGTGTCTGTTCTACTTATATGTTCCTCTATTTTGTTATTCTTGACAGTCATATTTTCCTTTAATACTACATTTGTATCTGTTAGATTATATGATGTACAGGGACTTTCAAGATTAATTTCTGTTTTAATACCAGGTTTAGAGATTAAAACAAAAGAGGAGGAAGTGGTAGAGGGGAAGAAAAAGAGACCTATATACGAGAAGAAAAAGAAGAAGCCACAACAAAAACAAGATGGTGAATAATTTTTATCTTTCAGTTTTATAAATGTACACAAATTTTTTTTAAATTTTCCACCCCCATGTCTTGTTTTGGTCCATATACTGTAAAATCATTATTATTCGTGGGGCACGAATTTTCGTGGTTTTCGTGGGTAGGTCAATCCACGAATTTAAGATCCGACGAACTTTTATCCCAACAAATACTTCTTGCCCAGTCTCTGTCCTATATATTACAAACATGCGTCGGCTCTTTTCCGGTCGATATTTCATGAAATGGATGTAAATATAGACAGATAATCAGGTTAGTAACATATTAAATCCGTTTACAATATTTAAGAAACTTGAAAGAAAAATCGATTTTATGTCCTCAATTTACTGTCACAAATGTCGCATATACATACTTGATCGTTGTAGTTTACTAGGACTTGATTGTGTTAACAAGAATATTTGACATCGAGTAAATATGAGAACCCAGGCAGTGCAATAATTAGCGCTAATCAAAATTGTCCGTTTGCTCTTATTTATTTAAAAAAAGTCTTTGACATTAATGTCGTAAGTACACAAAACTATAAAAAATACGATCGCTAAAACAGATTTATTGTACATTCTTTTGTCGTTTTTAAATGATCCAGTCTATATGAATTTTAATCTGTATTTGTGCGAATGCTATTCCGTAAACATCAAAGACGCCACCGCTTTTTACAAGATCCACATACTGTACCGAGATTAATTTATATGCATGTAAATTTACACAGTCGCTGTGACGTTGCGTGTAGTTACTGTCAAATATGTTAAGACCAATTCAGTGTGTAAACTTTTAAACTCGCTGGTTAAAACCTGCCAGGTGTCGTATAAATTATGCGATGTTTACATCGGCGAATAACATGGGCAGTGGAGGTGCATATCATGTCACATAAATGTGTTAATTGCAGTCAATTATCGGCAGTAACTGTGCTATATTAGAGTTATGCCCAGAGGCAAGGATTAAATTTATTGACAAGCGCTGTGTGACAAGTAAAGATATGTACATGTTGTAAGTAAAAATGTTTGGCGATTAAGTTTAAGATTACTTTGCATTAGGTTACTGAATTTTTTTTAACAAGAAAACGAAAATCCACGAATTTAAGAACCCACGAAAATGCCTTTTTTGATAAAACCACGAAATTTCAAGCCCACGAATATAAGTGAATTCGCAGTAGTCCAATTAACTTGTGCTTCAAATCATGCTAGAATTGCTACTGGCAGGAGCAGTGGTGTGGGTTTGAACCCTGACAGGGGCAAGTTGTTGTTTCCTTGAGTGTGACTTTTAGCTTCTAGGTTCCTACACAATCAAACTAAAATGAATTCACTAAACTATAAAAAAAATGCGATCGCTAAAACAGACTTATTGTACATTCTTTTGTCGTTTTAAATGATCAAGTTTATATGAATTTTAATCTGTATTTGTGCGAATGCTATGCCGTCAACATCAAAGACGCCACCGATTTTTACAAGATATAAAAAAAAATACAAGATCCACACATACTCGTGTTATTTACCGAGATTAATTTTTATGCATGTAAATTAACACAGTCGCTGTGACGTTGCGTGTAGTTAAGTACTGTCAAATATGTTAAGACCAATTAAGGGTGTAAACTTACTCGCTGGTTAAAACCTGTCGGGTGTAGTATAAATTTTGCGATGTTTACATCGGCGAATTACAAGGGCAGTGTGTATATCATGTCACATAAATGTGTTAATTGCAGTCAATTATCGGCAATAACTGTGCTATATTAGTTATGCCCAGAGGCAAGGATTAAATTTATTGACAAGCGCTGTGTGACAAGTAAAGATATGTACATGTTGTAAGTAAAAATGTTCGGCGATTAAGTTTAAGATTACTTTGCATTAGCTAGGTAACTGAATTTTTTTTAACAAGAAAACGAAAATCCACGAATTTAAGAACCCACGAAAATGCCCTTTTTGATAAAACCACGAAATTTCATGCCCACGAATTTAAGTGAATTCGCAGTACCATATTTCACTCGTGGCTACCGCCACTCATGAAATATTTATTTTCATTCCACTCGATGAAAATAAATCATGTATTTATAGACAAAACTTGAATATCCTCTATTTATTTTGATAAAAGCATCCAAGATGCCTCATGATAGTCTTGTTAGTCCCCTACCAGTTTACTGGAGGGGACTTTAGGTTTACCCTTGGTCCTTCCATCTGTCTGTCCATTCGTCCACAAAACTGGATCCCGCAATAACGCAAAAAGTACCGAAAATATTTTTATGAAACTTGATATATAGATAGATGGCAATATGGAGATTATGCACATCTTTTTCTTTTCTTCCTATGTTGAAAATTCTGGTTGCTATGGCAACAAATAGACTGAAAATATGGCAAATTTTACACATAAACTGGATCCAGTGATAACGCAAAAAGTACTGAAAATATTTTTATGAAACTTGAAATATGGGTAGATGGCAGTCTGGAGATTATGCACGCCTTTTTTGTGTCGCCTCTACAGAGTAGTGGCGACATATAGGGATCACTTCTCTTGTCTGTCTGTCTGCCTGTCTGTCCGTCCGTCACAAAACTTGTCCGGACTACTCCTCATAAACTACTTGTGCAATTTCATCTAAACTTTACAGGAATGATCAGTACCAAGTCTAGTTGTGCATATTGTCAGCATTTTCCGGTTCAATGATTTTTGTCAGAGTTATGGCCCTTTCATAATTTTTAATTTTAAAGTTTGTCCGGACTACTTCTCTTATACCACTAATGCAATTTCAGTGAAACTTTACAGGATTGATCTGTAGCTCAAGTCCTTGCGCATATTGCACGGTTTTTCCGGTTGAATGATTTTTGTCCGAGTTATTGCCCTTTGATAAAAAGGTGTTTTTTTAGCTCGACTATACGAAGTACATTGTATATGGAGAGCTGTCCTACTCGCCCCAGATTTTAGATTAAAGTTTTGGTGCAGTAAAATATTTTTCACTATAACTTTGTCATTTCTTAAGGTATCAACTTCAAACTTCAAATATATGTTCCTTATCATCAACCACATCTTATGTGATAAGGTTCATAACTCTAGCACCAATTTTTCAGATTTATCTCCCCTTGAACTTAGAATTTTCCTTGAAAAATACTATTTTTTACTGTTACTTCTTTATTTCTTAAGGGATCAACCTCATACTTCAAATATATGTACCTTATCATCATCCCCATCTTATGTGACAAGGTTCATAACTCTAGCACCAATATTTTCAGATTTATCTCCCCTTGAACTTAGAATTTTCCTCAAAAAATACTATTTCTTACTGTTTCTTCTTTATTTCTTAAGGGATCAACCTCATACTTCAAATATATTTACGTTATCATCATCCCCATCTTATGTGACAAGGTTCATAACTCTAGCACCAATATTTTTAGATTTATCTCCCTTTGAACTTAGAATTTTCCATAAAAAATATTATTTTTTACTCTTACTTATTTATTTCTAAAGGGATCAACTTCATACTTCAAATATATTTACGTTATCATCATCCACATCTTATGTGACAAGGTTCATAACTCTAGCACCAATATTGCAAGAATTATCTCTCCATAAACTAAGATTTTTTTACTAGAAAAATGTTATTTTTTATTATAACTTTTTTATTTTTAAAGGTATCTACCTCAAACTTCAAATACTTATTCCTTATCATCAATTACATTTTATGTGACAATGTTCATAACTCTTGAAGCAATATTTACAGATTTATCTGTCTTTGAACTTAAGATTTTCTTTAAGAAATATAATAACTTCTTTACTTTTTAGCTCGACTTTTCTATGAAAAGGGGAGCTATCCTACTCGCCCCGGCGTCGGCGTTGGCGTCACACCTTGGTTAAGTTTTTCGTACCACCCCACTTTATTTCAGAAGTATTACAAGTATGGCTTTGAAACTTACCATACTTGTTCACCATCATAACCTCCATCTACAGACAAGAGTACATAACTCTGTCAAGGTTTTTGACAGAATTATGGCCCTTTTTTGACTTAGAAAGTGTATTGAGCTTGGTTAAGTTTTTTGTACCACCTCACTTTATTTCAAAACCATTGGAGGTATTGCTTTGAAACTGACCATACTTGTTTACCATCACGACCTTCATCAACAGACAAGAGGACATAACTCTGTCAAGGTTTTTGACAGAATTATGCCCCTTTTTGACTTAGAAAATACATTGAATATGGGTAAAATCCACTTATTGCCTTAACCCTTTGAGATATTGCTTTGAAACTTTTAATGCTATTTCACATCATTACCCCCATCTGTACGCAAGAGAAGGTAACTCTGTCAAGGATTTGTTTTAAAAATTAAGGCCTTTTATCGACTTAGAATCTTGGTTAAGTTTTTAGTACCAGTCCACTTTTTGACTGAACTGTTTGAGATATTAATTTGAAAGTTGGAATACTTGTTTACAATCATGATTCCCAAACATGTCCAGGAGAAGGTAATTCTGTCAAAGATTTTATTTGAATTATGGCCCTTAACTGTCAATGTTTTGTATTATAGGCAAGCACTAAAAAACTTAAAAAATCTAAAAAAATTCATTCCTATCCACTTGTTCACTTTACCATAAATTATGTCATAATAAAATAATTCTTCACTAAATATCTTAATGCTCATGGCCATTGTTCACTTTAAAAATACAGAGATTCTTGTATTGCCTTTTACTGCAAAAACTTTTTTTATTGGCAAGCAATAAAAAAGTCGAGCGCGCTGTCTTACGGACAGCTCTTGTTAAGGTATCTACTTCAAACTTCAAATATATATTTCTTATCATTACACAAATGTTGTGTGACAAGGTCCATAACTCTAGCATGACTATTTCTAGAATTATTCCCCTTGATCTTGGAATTAATGTTAACAAATGTTATTTTTTTTCTATAACTTAATACATAATTATACATAATGGATTTTTCTTTCATAGTTTTGTCCTCCTTACTGCGTCCAGTATTTTATTAGTCGAGCTTCGCTGTCTCCTGTGACAGCTCTTGTTCTGTGTGTTGCCAGATACACAAAAGCTTGTCCCGA